ATCTATCTATCTATCTATCTATCTATCTATCTATCTATCTATCTATCACCTACCTACCTACCTACCTACCTACCTGTCTGTCTGTCTGTCTTGGCTAGCCTTTGTAAAGGATGAAGCAGGAAGAAATCAGCTCAGCCAAAACAGAATTGTCATATAAAGGCAAGGCAGCTATCCCTGATTTTGAAGGATGGGAAAAGAATGGCCAAAAGTCTGTTGATTCAAAAGAGAAAGAGGAAAAAAAAAAAGGATTTAAACTGGGCGACTGATGTATATATAGAGTCTGACTCCCATATCCTGAAGTAGCCAGGCCTCCTATTTATGCCTTATCATTGATATCATCATCAATATTACTATTCTCAACTTTAGCCATTTTAAGATGTATGGACTGCTACTCCCATAATTTCTTGCTGCCTAGAGAATTCTGGGAGTGGAAGTCCACACATCTTAAAAGTTGTCAAAGTTGAGAAACACTGGTTTATATCTCTTCTTTATTGTCATATACATTGCATATTCTTGAAAAATAAAAAGGGAGAAAATGGAATATGAAGTACTAAACAGGAAATGCAGGTGAATTTACTTGCAAAATATTGGTTCTATTGTAGCAGAGAACTGTAAGGTAAACAAGCCAAAGAACCAGAAGTCTGGGAATTCTCACCACAAGGAAAATGGATTCCTTAAGCTATGCAGAATTCCATATTGCAATTTGTGATACTGCCAATTGAATGTTTTCAATCTATGTTGAGTGATAGCAGAGCTGGAGGTAAATTAGTTCAGCTGCCCAACCATAGTAAGAAATAGGCAGTTCCAAGACCAACACCAAACTGGAAATCTTGTGTTGTTAGTTGCACGATGTAAAAGGGGGTGTTGTCAAAATACAGTGATATATTTATTTATTTATAAATTTTATTTGCCGCCTGATTCATATCCAAAGGCCCTGGGAAGCTCACAATATTAAAATATATATACATATACCTGATAGTAAACAACTGACTGCTGCAGTTGCTTAATTTTTTTATCACATGCTTCTTCCAGCTCTGTCCAGTTTTTGCTCAGTTCCTGGCACTTTTCTTTGATTCTCTGAGAAGATATGCACGTATCTTCTGCCACAGCATTCCCCTTTTCTAGAACCCTGGATATTTGCTGCTTATGGGCTTTCACTTCAACTTGTAATTCCTAGAAGACAAACAGCCAGAAATGTGATGGAAAGGTGACAGGCAAATAGACGAAAGAAACATCCAAGAGAAACTTGGAGTCTATGTGCTATTTTTCAAAGCCTAAGTTTACTGAGTTATTTTTTTTAACCAAAATCTCAAAACAAAAAATTACCTTCTCCTAGTGTTTGTTCTTATATCCAGAGATGTATCTGAACCAGAAGAGAAAAACTTGGATTCCTGAAACTCTTCTTTTCATTCTGAAGGGAAAGTTTACTAAATGCATCTATTATTTCTTTGATGGCATCTAATATTTCTCTGATGGCAGTTGCAGGAACAACTGTGTTGATGGCTTGGCTATCATTGTTCTGCCAAACAGGCCATATTCATTCTTAATTACAGGTATATAATTTTCATGATTTAAACCTAATGCATGATATTGATAATATTTTGAAACTGGTCTCTAGTGACATTTTTTTAAAAATCCAGATCGTTATACTGGTTAAAGTGCTAGAAACCAGGAGATTGTGGGTTCTAGTCCTATCTTAAGTGTGAGAGACAGCTGGGCAAGACCTTGGGCCAGTCACTATCTCACCTCACCTCAAATGTAAAAAGTGAAATGCTTTTGAAAGTACCCAGTCCGATTTTCAGAAGAACCATTATAATTAAGACTTACCTTCAGCTTCTGTAGCAAGCTTTGAGCCCCATTTAAAGATTTTCCTTGGATTGTGGATTTGGCAATGGACATTCGCTCACCAATCCACTGCATTTCCATGTCATGGTAATGGTAGAACTGAAACAGTTCCACACTTGCCTCCAACAGCTGCCCCCGCTCCGCAAGAGGTTTTTGGAGGGAATCAAATCTGTAGATTAGATTTTTTTTTAAAAAAAAAGGCTGTTCACATTTGTATATTTAAAAAGAATCATTAGCTAAACATTTCTAACTGATTGGTCCTATTAATACTAATGCCATTACTACTATTAGTAAAAAATAATAATGCTAGACCAGAAGAGAAAGCAATATATTTTCCACAACTATTTTACATTATAATTATCCAATCTATGGAACATATGGCAATTTTAATCCAAGTGTATTGCTTTTGTGTAATTTGCTGTATTTTCTTATGCAGTACTTTCCAGAAAAATAAAAGAGATTAAAAAAAAACCTTTTGGGGTGACTGCAAACAGCATTTTTTTGGTTATTTATTGATCTGCAAAGACAGAAACATTCCACATAATAAGGTCACCTGATACAGGTGATTGTGCAATGAAGATGTGTATAGAAAGTTTAAAGGTTACACTAAGTGTGCTAAACCAAACAAACTTGATGTACCTATTTCATAGCTTTTTCTTACTTTAAATGAGGCAAATCAAATTTGAAGGTTTCTACTGAAATTCAGCCAGGCAAGCTGAGAATTGTACACCTCCCAGAGTCACCATGTATAACTTGGGAGGCCCTATAAATCTGCTTAATAAATAAATAAATGTTCCGGGGACAACAAAAAAGGCTCTGGGGCTGCCTGGAGACCATAGGTTGCCTCTTTTCTCTTAGCAAGTATTTAACTTTAATATTTAAATATCTAATTAATTAATTTAATATTTAAAATATTTTATTGCTACAAAAAAAATCCTATGAGGCAGATTAAGGTGAAAAATATGTCTTGTTATTCTTCCATAGAAGAAGGGAAAAATGACTTGTCTGCTGACTTTTCCGACAGCCAATCTCAGTATTCAGTCACTGTAAGCATACTAGTAGTTTTTTTGCTCCCTACCTTGTACAATAATTTGTACAATAACCTTGTACAATAACCTTGTACAATAATTTAGAAATAGTCTTTGGATTTCTGATCCCTGGAAGAAGAGTAGCTCACCTTTCCAGATAACTCTGGGTCTCATCAAGAATCTTCTCTCTATTGAAATGATGTGTAGCTACACTCTTGGCATGAGACACAATGGAATTCATTTTCTCAGCCAGTCCATGCATTTCATTTTCTAGCTGTCTATGCTCCTTGAGTAAATTGCGACTGGAACGCAAATCATGACCCAATTCTGCATTTCGGAGCATCCTTTCTATCTTCTCTATCTTCTCGTCAGCATCCTAAGGAAGGAAAAGTAGAAATCTTATTATGTCCACTTCAGAAAATTTCCAGATCTTCCCAATTCAATGATTCTGTCTTTTTGCATTCAGACAGTACACCTGCTTCAATATTTGATCTTACTAAATTTTGTGGGCCAACATGTAGAATCTGGCTATAGGGAAATTAAAAGTGGTGCTTCCATTTCTGTAGTTTCCTATTGTTTTTATATAATGTCTTAGATGTTTTAGTATTTGTAAGGTATTTTAAATTTAACTGTAATAAATCATTCATTCATGCATTGCTCCTGACCTCAAGAATCTCCATCAGTTGTTCCTGCTGGCCAGCCTGCCTCAATTTATCTCCATGTTCTATCATCTTGCTATAGAGTTTCTCCCATTTCTTCTTTATTTCTGACATTTTGTCCTGAATGGAATCTGCAGCATAGTGGTCATTTTGTATCAGCTGATTTCCAGCCTAGAGAAATGCAATACATTCAGTCAAAAACATATTTCTTGATAACCCGCAAAATTGTAATGGTTGTTTCTACCTGCCGATCTTTATTCAGAGAAAATGCATGCATAGAGTAAAACTTCATAACTCATACCAATTGTTGATCATCAGTTATCAATAACAATAATATTACACCTATACATCTTGAGTGAAGACACACTGTCAAATATTATTGAATTACTGGCCCTTTTATTAGTTATCTTTCTACCTGCATGAGATCACCTTACCGTCATTACCCCCATAAAATGCTTCTTATTGGCCATCATTTCTTGTTCCGCAGCCTCATGCCTTTTCAGCTTCCGTAAGATATTTGTGGGGTCACGATAGGACTCATCTGAGGCTATCTTGTATTTTTCTTCCATCCATACCAAGAGTTCAGCAGTGTCACGAATGAACTCCTAAAATTGTACACATTAGATTTTGAGAACCTGAGTAGAGAGTACAGTATGATGTGCCTTACACCTAGCATATTAAAGACTCCTATGACCCAGAATACTTTCATAAAAAGTATTTTGTTGACTTTTTGTTGAAAATGGGGGGAAAAAATGAAACGATGATTTCTGGATTTACCGATTAAAAAGGTTGACTGTATAGGGATAGAGAAGAATTATGTGATGTAATCTTAAGAGAGGGAGAAGGGATAATAATTTGGTTTGTAGCTGCTATAAAAGGATCAGAACTCAGTTCTTTAATTATCTTTTTCTTTTCTTGTTTGTACTGTTTTTCACTCTTTTTCTTTTATATTTTTCCTAATTCACATTTATGTATATTATTATGCTTATCTTTTTATGTAAATATCTTATACATACATACATACATACATATGATACACACACACACACACACACACACACACATATGGATCTTTGGTTATTCGGGTTTTCTCCCACGTAAAATTGGAAGTATTTTGGTGACGTTTCAACAAAATCTCATTCGTCATCTTCAGGCTTCTCCCACACTATAGCTGCATCACTACCCACTTCAAACCCCTCCGAGCCATACATGAAGCGAACTGACACCCACCATGAAGATGTGGCATGACCACGAACTCGAAGCCAAACAGCAGGATCACAGCTCACCAGCTCAAATCCCCCAGCAACTAAGACTA